TTTTCCACAATTTAAACGATGTGCTCAGTTGTTCGATAACAAAAGAACAGTACGGCGTTCTGGTCTGCTTATGAAGGAGCTTCCCACGCTTGTGGTCGTGCTGTTTCCTGCGTGCACTTCATAGTTGTACTTCACTTTCATACCCTTAAAAGCTTACTAAATCAGAACAAGCAGTCATCCGCGAAATACCAAAGTCTCCACTTACAAGGGTTCTTGAAGTGACGGCACACATGAGTGTAGTAAACGAGCTGAAACTCGATGATTTTCCGCAACGAGATGTATATGAAACCTCACCAACCTCGTAAGGAATAAGGCAATACTCATGCGTGAAACGACATATCTTTCAAACGGCCAGAATACTTGATTCCGTCAATCGGCCCTTAATCTTCATCCTCACCAACTCAAAGATGTCTATTTAGCGAGGCCAATAACGTGGACTTCGTAAACAAAGCTTCAGCCATTCGCAAGGAATCACGAATACATATCTTGAGGATCTTTTTGACTGTCGCATAAAAGTATCAAATAGAGTTTATTGCAGAACAGGACATTGACATGTGAACAAATCAGACTTCAAGTAACGACGGGCAAGAAACGAGTTTCGACTGTCTGAAGGGCATGAAACTATCAAGCTGCTATCTGCCACATGACGAATAACACCGTTTTCGATTATAAAAAAACAGAGATGTTTCATGCGCTCTAAGTGATTAAGGGCTTCAACTGATGCAGAGCTTCAATTTTACCAGATTGGCTCTGCCAGATTATGCACCTTTCAGATACAGCACTGTCAGTAAGAGCTCCAGACTCTATTAGAGTAGGGAACAGCTAAACATTACTATTTGTACAATGAACACTATTTTTGCTATAGCGAAGAACCAACCTTCGTCCGAACATTAAGCACTTGTGAAACAAGAACTACAACTTCAAGATACCTAAAATATTCAAACTATATAAAATATAGTAATCTACTCTAAGTGTCATAAACGGAGTCGAGAAAGATTAAAAATACGAAATACTAAAATATGTTCATGAGCTCCGTGATTTCAAAGATGAAGAGAAATACGTTCAAAACTGGATCGCGCAACTAGTAACTCAAATGGGAATGATGTTCATCAAATACCAGCTCATTACACTCTGTCTGTCTACATTAACTTGTTTCA